AACCTAGTATTTAAAGCCAAAATAATAACAACATGCTATAAGTTTATATAGAAGAAAAACATGTCACAAGAGCACAAAGGCCAGGAAAGGACAAATGGAAGTATGTGCTATTGCGAAGTTCTTCATCTGAACATGAAGTAGTATTGCTTGAAAAAAACCAAAAACTGCAGTGAGTTAAATATGTATATCATGACCCTGAATGCAGCTGTTGAAATAATTCTTCAAAGAGTTAGGACTAATATAATTTTAAATAAAGGTGATTAAAAATAGAACCACAAGAAAAATCCATCTAAAGGAAGATATTTTTAAAAAGTGGGAGTGCTACTTGGGAGGTTGAGACAGGAGGATTGCAAGTTTGAGGCCAGCCTGATAGCTCAAGAATAAAACACCTCTGGGTTGCTCAATCCTGCAAAATCAAAACCAAAAAACAACAATCACAACGAGAAACCATTATATACTCATAAGATGTCAAAATGAACTGGACACAATGCTGTTGGTCTAGAATAGGGGATATATCCTTAAACTTTCAAGGGTCTGATCCTTACTGGACATAAATGGAAGAGGCAATCCTCCTCCAGGTGGGGGCTTAACATTCTAGCTTGCTTCTCAGTCACCCTCTGCACCAAGCATGCAGAGGATGTGGGCGGAACTGGAACCACAGTGTGATCTCAGCCTCTGATGAGCCTCTTGAGATGCAGAGACAACAGGAAATGTTACATTTAACAATCTGTTCCAATGTTCAAGTGTTTTAGAAATTCAGAGGTGTTATGTGAGCACTGCAGTTAATAGCATCCTTAGTTAAGAGCAGAAAGACCATCCTTGTCACCTAGGACCCTGAAGATTCGTAATCCTCCCTCAGAATTAAAGAGATCACTAAATCTAAGAAATAGAGTGGAATCAACCTGCAAACATTTACCCTGAATCTTTCAAACTAGTTTAAATTGGGAACATTTCTATTTGTCTAAAAAATTTTTTATAGAGGTTTTATTTTTATTTATGTATTTCTGTTTTAGTTATACATAACTGTAGAGTGTGTGTTTGTTTGTTTGTCTGAACAGTTTTAAGACTTAAAAAGAATGAAACTTAACAAGGGAAAGGAACAGAGGTGATCCTGTTTTACATTAGACAGCACATACCTACTACACCTCCCATAAGCTGGAAATTTCTTCGTGGTCAGTATTCTGGGATTTTAATTAAACAGTCTAGGTTTTCTAATTTATTTGCCTTCAGTCAAGGAACTACATATCTTCATCCTTGGAACACATAGGAGGTGGCAGATCTGGGGCTTTGTGCTTCTCAGAATATCATCAAATGGGCCAGTGAGAGGGATGCGCAGCTGTCCCCAGAGGGGAGAGAAGACAGTGTCCTGGATTTTATTTTACTGTCTTTGGTATGTGTAGAGCACTGTGCCAAGATCATCCTTTGTACTAGAACTCTTTAGTTTCACGAAAGGTGCTTCATGTAATTCTGTTCTATAATGAATTCTAGCTAATGTTCCCACCTTTTGGGGGGTGGAGGGGTTTATTTTTGTCATTTCCTGTGTGTTTGACTGATGGGGCTTCCGCTCTGGTCCTTTGCTCCTGCCCAGGGCCTGCTCTTAGCAGTTATTGTCCCCAGGTGTTGGGTGAGCAAGAGGGTGCATGAATGGCCAAAGTGCAGGCGCTCCTGCCTGGGGAGGGCATTGGCAGTGCAGTGGGCATTCTTCAGGCCACTGCCTTCCCAGGATGGTTGTGTGCTAGTGGCAGTCTGTTGTCTCTATATTTCCCCATATGTAAAATTGGTGTGATCAAGATGCCTTGTTAAAACTCTGTCTAGAGGTAATCTTCCCCCCTTGCTCTCCCTCCCAACCCCATTTTGAGTCACCCCCCCTTATATCAGAGAAGACATTCGGCATTTGTTTTTTGATAAATTGTGGTATAAAGGTGTATTAAGAATTGCAATGCAAAAAAATTATGAATGTAATGCACTCCTCTATTGTGATGTAAGAAATAATAAAAAAAAATAAAATTAAAAAACAAAACTCTGAAGCCTGCCCTCTGCAAACTGCTCGTTAATGATGGGCCCGAGGTACTATGTGGAACTGTGCTGCCCTGGCCTGCAGAAGGTCAGGGTCATCCTCAGGCTATGCTGCTGCTTCGGGTAGGGTGACCTAACACCTAGCATGTGTTCTCACACTGCCCAGGGCATTTATGTTACTATAATTTTGGTTCTGAGGTGTTATTTTTATTTAAATACATCTTGTGCCCTAATGCACATACCACACAATGAAGCCATTTAAGTATATAATTCAATGCTTTTATTATATTCACTATAGGTGGTGCAGTCATCACTATAATTAATTTTATCACCCCAAAAGAAATCTAATATTCTTTAGCCATCAACCTCCATTTTCCACCCAACCTATACCTCCAGGCAATGACAAATTGTTTTCAAGGTTCATACATGCTATAGTATTTGTCAGTACTTAATTCTTTTCGTGGCTGAGTAGTATTCCATTATATAAATAGACCACATTTTGTTTATTCATTCATTCGTTGATGGGCATCTGGCTTACTTCTACTTTTAGGCTATTTTTTTTAAAAAATATGTTTTTAGTTGTCAGTGGACCTTTATTTTATTTATTTATATGTGGTGCTGAGAATCTAATCCATTGCCTCACATGTGCTAGGCAAGCACTTTGCCATGGAGCCACAAGCCTAGCCCCCACTTTTAGGCTATTATAAGTAGTGCTGCTGTGAGCCTTTGAATACAAGCTGTGATTCATTTTTATTATTTCAAATTTTGTCACTTTGGAATGAGATATGTACCGGTATACAATTTTGGTTCCTTTTAGAATTTGAAGTCATATTTCTTTATGGCAGTAGAAACTCATAGAGCACGTCATGCAGCAGAACATATTAGATAACAGTTCAAAGAACTGTTTTTGCATCTGGGATCAATTTTAGGCAAAGCGAATTTAAAATAATTTTCTCTGTACTTTTAATTCATGATTTTCTGTTGTGTACCTAAAATATGTGTTGACATTTAAATGATGATGATGATGATGGGGCCGGGACTGTGGCTCAGTGGTAGAGCGCTTGCCTAGCATACATGAGGCACTGGGTTCAATCCTCAGCACCACATGAAAATAAATAAAATACAAAGGTATTGTGTCCATCTACAGCTAAAAATAGTTTCTAAAAATTACGATGTATGTTTGGCTAAAAAAATGCAAAAACTTGAACCTATGTGATTTCAGTTAAATTCCTCCCATAGATGAATGTTTCCTCCACACCAGGCATTGTTTAAGGTGATAGGAATATAATGACAAGTAGGTTCTGTGCCCTCAGAGTGCATGTGTGCAGTCTTGGGGAGGACTGGAGGGTGGCTTTGGAGATGCAGGAGGACAAGGCAGATATCCAGCATATGGGGTTTTAGGGGAGAACTCAAGCCAAACTTAAGGTGGATGGTAGGCAGGACAGGGGAAGCTTCTAGAAGGAAATCCAAGAACAGGTTGGGATCTAAAGGAGGAATAGCTAGAAACAAATAAGAGAAGGAAGGCTGGAGAAGGAGGGAGTTCCTAGGCAGGAGGTTGGGCATGTTTAGCACATCACCTGGGTCTCTCGACTGCTGCATTAGGTGGTTGGGACTGTACCCCAAGAGCGCAAGAGGGTGTGCCTTAGAGGGTGCTGGATGAGCAGATCTGCGTTTTGGCCATTCAGGGGATGCCCTGGATCAAGAGTGGGGTCTTGTTTCCTTTCCATTGAGAGGGCAGGTCACCACTGGGGGGCAGTGGCAGGCCAGAGGGTGCGAAGGGATTCAAAGAGCCACTATGGAGGACAAGGTGAGCAGGTGGGTTAGGGAAGCTGCTTCAGGGATGCTATAAAAGGTGGATATTTTAGATATGCATCATGAGACATTATGGCGGGCCCCTAGGCATATGCCGAAGCTCTGCAGTTGGGTAGCTGTGCTTCTGTGTATCCTGTGCTGCAGGTGGGGTTGGGCGCATTTGAACTGAGTTGCCTCAATGTAACTAAAAATGTCAATAAGAACAAGAGCAAAAATTGCCAAAACAAATCCATCATTACAGTCAAATCTGTAGCTGTGGTTGATGTCACATAATTTTCTACTTATTATTACTTTGAAATTGAAAGCCTAGAAGAGAAGTCAATGTTTCAGGAATTGAGAAATTGTTTTGTGGTGGGGGGGGGGGGCAGAGAAGGGGGGGAGATTTACCGGAGTTGTTATTTTGTTAATTTGCAACCATTGGGAAGCTGCAGCATCTTAGATCCCAGAGTCAGAGGGGAATTGAACCCAGGGTAGGGCAGGTTGGGGAGGCAACCCTGCTTTTCCGGGCCTAAGGAAATAATGTTCCTAATTAGGAATTGAGGTTGGAGCTGGAGAATTGGTTCAGGGTTCGAGAGCTAGAAATGGTAGACATAAAATAGGCAAAACCCGACTCCAAATGGATGGTTATGCTGTCCCAGCAAGGTGTCCCAGAAGTGAGATGCTGAGGACCTGGACAGGGTGACAGTGGTGCCATCTGTGTGGGACACACACATGGTGGTGGTGTGGGGGAGGCCAAGCTTCATAGCATTGGCCATTGTTTCTTAAACTCCATTAGGTAAGGAGCTCTTCTTGGGCTCAGAGTAGAATCAATCTCCCTTTCTGACCTTTCTTGTCGCTGCAGATGAAAATGTCCCCTCATGATCTGGGGAGAATAGATACACCTACTGCTTGAGCGAGGCCACTGTTCTGGCCTGACAGATTGTTCGAGAGGTCATTTATCTGCCCTGCATTCAGCTGGGCTTCCCTTGCAGCTCAGGGATGGGGCTGGTTTTCAGGGAAGAACCCCTGGGAGGTAAAGTCAGGCTCTTGAGATCTCGCCTCAGATGCCCAAGCCAGAACAGCTCAGACCTAGGTGGGCTTCCTTCCCCGACAACGTGGGCACGCTTCATGGTGAGCACGTGACTTTGGTTTTTCTCAGAGCAATGACTTGGGGCTCTCATTGTCTCGTCCAGGTATGTACCCTTTGGCCGCAGCGAGCCAGGAGGCGGAGAGCAGCCAGAAGCTGACTCACCTGCTGAATGCTGTGACTGACGCTCTGGTCTGGGTGATCGCCAAGAGCGGCATCTCTTCCCAGCAGCAGTCCGTACGCCTGGCTAATCTCTTGATGCTCCTGTCTCACGTCAGGCACATCAGGTACCGGCCTGCAGGGGCTGCTCCACTGAGCGCATGCGCGGTGTACATGCTCAGAGCTTTGGGAAGTGTTTGCGAGTTTAAGGTGGATAGTGTAGGCTTGTCACCTTTAAGAGAAAACCCGTGAAAGGGAGTGGGGGTGTTCACTCACGTGTAACCGCAGATTGGCTCATAGTATTGAGTGAATGTCACAGGGCACCTTCCGGATTTTCATGCCATCATGTGGTGGCCTGTTTTTTGGTTGCTAGGGTTTAGAGCTTGTTCATGGAGTCCTAAAAGGGGCAGTTCCTCCCCTGCAGTGAACCACCACCCTGAGTCATTTTCCTGAAGAAGCTAAGTCTGGCTCTCCTAGGGCATCCGTTAGGCCCGTGATTTGGGGAAGCACACAAAGCTTTCCTAAAATTTATTCTTTCCTTTTGATGACATCAAGATATTAAGAATGAGATCTTCCAAACAAGTTTGGGAAGGCAGGGTTGTGGATGGAGCACATTCCAGATCCACATGTAAAATTGTGTGCTGGTGAAGGGGGTGGCAGCAATGGCTTCTGCTGGTGCATGGTGTCACCCAGGAGGGTAGCCCTGCACCAGGGCTGGATGAAGGTGAAAGATAATGCCCGCTTGAGGAGTGAGGTGAGGGGTTGTGGGGAAGGATTTTAGCACAAGGGAGGAAAAAAGACCACTTGTCCCCGTTTTTTCTTTATTTCTGCTTTTTGAAACAGCATCTATTTTGTCCAGATTGTCCTCAAACTCATAATCCTCCTGCCTCAGCCTCCCAAGTAGCTGGGATTACAGGCATGTGCCATTGGGTCTGGCTCTTGTACACTATTCAGAGCCACATTCTTACATTTTTGGGGGGCAATTTCATTTAAAAACAGCTTCCTAATGTAGTGCAGAAATGCTCTCTATCTTAGAAAAGCTGTGATGTGCCTTTTGGAGAAAATAGGTAAGTTTGCTTCAGGCATGAGTTAGGGTGCCTTTTGTTGGCTGTGAGTTTGATGCTAATAAATTGACAATGTCTATTAAATAAGGCATCTTTATATAAACACACCTAAAACAAGATTGACCAGCTGATGAAAATGGGATGAGAAGTTTTTAGGAACCTGTGTATGTCCCTGAGGAGCAGTGACTCAGTATTTGCTAACTTGGTGTTTACAGTGACTTTATAAAACATGACTACGGTGAATAATTAGAATTGATTGTACCCTGTGCCATGTGCTGGGTGGGTGGTGGGACACAAAAGTCAAGACAATTTTGTTTTTGTCCTTGAATATAAATTACTGAGAGCTGGGTGGTTGAGCTGTAGAGTAGGAGACTGGGGGAGTGCTGGGTGGGGGCAGTTTCGGACCTGCTCTGCGCAGGAGAATGGGGAAGATTTTGACATTCCCAACCCTACCCTCAGGGAAAAAAAACTCAGTATCTTTTTGTCCCATAGTAACAAGGGCATGGAACATCTGCTCAGCATGAAGTGCAAAAATGTGGTCCCTGTGTATGACCTGCTGCTGGAGATGCTGAATGCTCACACGCTCCGTGGGTATAAGTCCTCCGTCTCGGGGTCTGAGTGCAGCTCAGCAGAGGACAGAAAGAGCAAAGAGGGCTCCCAGAACCCACAATCTCAGTGATGCCTGGCCTGGAGGTGAAAAGGCCCACATGTGGTCAAAGTCAGAAGCATGAACTTAAGCAGATCAGGAGCCTGGCCTTCACCGTATCTCCACAGAGTGGCCCCTCATCTGGGTATGGCTGCCTCTGTCATGTTTGGCCCTTCCCTACCTTCTACTTCTCAGGAGTCAGGGTGAGAAAATCAAGTTTTCCTTGTATTGGGGGCACATTTGAATACAGAGTCCCATGTTACATGGCTGTCTAGGATCTCAATGTGGTCCCTTTCTTACTTTCCATCTCCATTCCCCTCTTTGGGAAATATCCTAAAGGTCTTGGAATGAATGGTGTAAATCTGACATGGAAGTGTTGCAAATTAGAACATGACACATTGATAGGAAATGGACTAACCCTAAATGTGCACTCTTTAGTCCCTTTGGAGTTGACCTTTGGATGCTGTCTTCTGGACCATTTGATTATAGGTTCGAAAACCGCAATGACAATCAGTTAACTAGTTTCACGTACCTACCTCACAGGCCTGTGAGGACTGATGTCATGTTCTGAGGTTCTGTCAAAGACCAAGGGGACAGTGGTTAAACTGGCATGTGAGCCGTGATCTTCCTACCAGACTTTATCGCTCTCTTTGCACACATCTGTCCCTCAGTTTGCATTCATGGAGCCCACTAATTCTTTTGGTGCGTGCGATCACTTTCATGGAGGATTGTGGCAGATTTAAATTTCTCTGCCCTTGGAGTTGGGCCTTCTTGAAACTATTGTCCCAGTGTGCTTAGCATGTGTGCTACAGAAAGACCTCATGTCTGCAGGAATGGGATTCTCTTGTGGGTGTAGGTTTTAGCCACAGTTTTTCCCAGGGTGCTGTGAATGCAGTTTACATCTTACATGGCAGAAGTGGCAGCCATAAGTGCCACATCAGCCACCTGGGGGACATAGGGACACCATGGGTTATGGGTGCTTTTCTGTGGAAAGATGCTACACACACACACACTAGCATGTTAGCTCTGGGGCCATGCTGTCTAGACACCACTCGAACAAGACTTGGCTTGGAAACTCTCCTTAAAAAAGAGAACTATTTAGGGGTAAGTATTTATAGCAAAAAATAATCCTTTTAACCCCTGGGGAACTCTCTTAAAATATTTTCTTATCAGAAAATTTATATGGTGGTCTGGGCAATATAGAAATAGGAAAGGAAGACGAAGCACTTCTGAAATGACAATTTTAACTCACTTTTTTAAAAATGGAAATTTTCAGACCAATTTTTGGAGGACACAGCCAATGTGTAAAATGTATAACAGTCATTATTTTGGAAATGAGCAGTTAAATGATCTTGTTGATTTTTGTAGTAATGTTTTTCAAAAGTTCCTTGGAATATGGCAGTAAATACATTTTCTTTTTGCAAATAAGTTTACTTTGGCTAGCACATCCTGTATTTACTATGTCATTAGGAAGATTAAATTTAATGTCATAAAGGTTAGTTTTTGCTAGTGAAAAACCTTTAGTTCTTAATTTTGACCCTGGTGCAATTTTACTAAAAGTTGAGTTTAGCTGTCTTAGATACACGTGGACATTGGACACACCAAGCCTGGTAATCTGAGGCAGTTTAAAATTATTCTCAGTAACCCAAATGTGACAGGCTTAGAGAAATTCAGCACAGAAAACAAGCTTGATTTCATAAGAAAGCAGAGAAGGTCAGTTTTCTTTCTCTCTGACCTGCCTAAAGTTTCCTACTGTAAACACACAAGGCTTGGCAGTGGGGGCAAAGAAGTCAGCCTTGAACAGTTATTTGCCAGTGAATTCTTCTATTTTACAGATTACCAGGCAAGAAATACAAGAATAAACAATAGAATGGGTTCCAATCCATTGCCTAATTAGTACATAGCGGAGTGGATATTTTAGGTTGAGTTTTTTTTTTAATCTTTATTTTTATGTGGTGCTGAGGATTGAACCAAGTGCTTCACATGTGCTAGGGAAGCCCTTTACCACCGAGCCACAACCTGGCCCCCTTAGGTGGAGTTTTGACACCTAAAGAAAGTACCATATTGGACTCAGGTGGCCAAGTGCCCTTTGTGCCAAGTCCTGTGTTTCCAGGTAAGTGGGCGTTTCCTGTGATTCTTGTCCAGTGGCCATTAGTTATTTTCCACAAATTCTTCTGTCTGTTTCTCAAGGATTTAGTCAGGATGTGAATCTTTCCAAGTCTCACCTGGGTGTGCTGGCTGCACAGGTTAGCACCTTCTCACCCCAGCGCTCTGACTGGGATCTGGGGCAACCAGATGATAGAGAAAACATACTTGGTACTCAAAGGGTTTGTTTTTCATTTTGAGTATCCCAGGGCCCTCTTCCTCTTCAGATGAAGTGTTTTGAATATCTCTGCCCATCTGATCCAAATATATCCTATAAGGATGGACTTTTTTTAAATGCTTCAGGCTGCCCTTTTGATGTGCTGGTCAAATCCTCTGTGTCCATTTTAAAGATAGTAGTTTGTCTAATTCACAGTGCTTTCTTTGAAATGCCTTCATTTTGGGGATGTCTACTCTTCTTAAATAGTCTATGTCCACATTCCTCTAGGGCAGTTCGAGTTCTCCCATAGCTAAGCAGGGATCACAGTGTTTTCCAAGTTCAGTTTTTAAAAGGAATTAATTAGAGCAAACAGAACCTGACAAGTGTAAATAGGAATTCGATTATTGAATGAATACAAGACCTAACTACTTTCAACATATTTTGGAACTCTGATCCTCAGCTTTGCCTTGTACTGGTATCACAGGATTTCCTTCCTGTTTTAATTTGTAACTGATCATTTAATGTAAGAAACTTATTTACAGGAGATGAGTGAGATTTGGGCTTAATTTGAGTAGCTAACATGGGGTCATATAGACAAATGTTAATGGTCACCATGGAATGTCCTTCCCACCCAGAGTTCACTCAGATTCAGATAATGACTGGCTGTCCCTAAAGAGGACCAGGGTGGACAACCTCAGGAGAGCATTGATTTTTCACAGTGGGTTTTCTAAGGGAAGTTCCCTCTGTTCTGACTCCCTCTTTTCCATCCTCAGGGCTGTCACGAACCAGGACCAACTAGAAAAGATTAAACCCCAGATAATCCTGAGATTTTCTTGAAAATTTGACATGAGAACAAAAGACAGAGTTGTCAGCCAAATAACAAATTTAGAGAATCTTAATCTTATTTTAGAATTCAGTTAGAACAAAAAAAATCCATTGCCAACTCCTGGCAAAACTGTACTACATATTCATATGTATGTGAGCTAAATGGAAGCAATTCTAGAATTTTCTAGCAAGTGAAAATAGGTGTTGGTTCCTATTTTCATCTGCTGAGGGTCTTGAATATTTAGATACTTTTTCTAATTCAAGATGAATCTTCAGTTTCTAGTTCTATACACACATACGTACATATTTTTTGGTACTGCAGATTAAGCCCAAGGTTGCTTTACCACTGATCTACCTGCCTAACCATTTTAATTTGGAGATAGGGCCTCACTAAGTTGCTGAGGCTGGCCTGAAAACTATGATCCTCCTGTCTCAACCTCCCAAGTCCCTGGGATTATGGGTATATGCCACACCTGGCTTAAAACAAAATATTTTTATTAAGATTGGTACATTTCTTTTTTTGCCAGTCACAGTAGTGTGTGCCTGTAATCCCAGCAGCTGGGGAGGCTGAGGTGGGACAATCACAAGTTCAAAGCCAGCCTCAGCAAAAGCAAGGTGCAAAGCAACTCAGTGAGACCCTGTCTCTAAATAAGATTGGTACATATCTTTAAGCTGCCAAAACCCTTTCAAAAAACACAATAAAGGTTATGTAAAGTAAGCCTTTAGCACTTACTTACATTTAATCTTCATAATGATTACCATGATCATAACTTTCTGGCTGGAAACTAGAGAGTCTAAGCGAACTTGTTCCAGTCCACACAGGGCAAGTAACAGAGCTGAATATAGGCAGTCCAAGTCCAGTGCTGGAAGTGATCAAGCAGTTCAACTAGTTCAAAAACTATGAAAGGGCTGGGGATGCTGCTTAGTGGGACACACACACACACACACACACACACACACACACACACACGTGATATCTCTATCTATCTATCTATCTATCGGGTCTCTACCACTCACATATCTCCAGCCCTAGCCCCATCCCAATAATTTTAAACTGCAGAATCCATTTATCAAAAGCACTCTGACATGCATGGCTACTGTGACTTAAGTGGGACTTACTGATGACACTGTATACTCCTAATGCCTACTACAACCCTGTAGACACAGTTAACAGCTTGGAAACCTCTGACACAGAAAGTCAGTTCCACCTTTTCTTTTTTTGGGGTATATGTGGATTGGTACTGGGGATTGAACTCAGGGGCACTCTACCACTGAGCCACATTCCTGGCCCTCTTTTGTATTTTATTTAGAGACAGGGTCTCACTGAGTTGAGGCTGGCTTTGAACTCATGATCCTCCTGTCTCAGTCTCCAGAGCTGCTGGGTTTACAAGCATGTGCCAACAGCACCCAGCTCCAGTTCCATCATTTATACATGTGTAAATGAAATTCCCCAGGGGACAATGACCTGCTTGAGGTCATACTTACCATGGAGCCTGGAATGAAATTCCAGTCTGCTTGTCCAGCTAGCATTATTGCTGCAGGATTCTGCTTCTTGAGCTGAATCTCAGTAGGATGGAAAGATGGTTAGTCAGTTAGGGTTGCTTGTGTTGTACCTTCAGATCCTGCCTCCTCAGCTTGGATGGGGTCTGCATGAATTCTTACAAGTGGCAGCAATGGCAGGCAGAAAAAAAAAAAAAAGATGTACTATATTATTCCTCTCCTCTTCCTGGGCTCACAGGCCAGAGGGGACCATCATCACCACCACTATCTACCTATTACTGCTTTCCCCAAATATGTCAAAGCTGAGTATATTCCTTGGAAATTTACCCATGTAGAAGTCTCACATCTCTTAGGCATGAATGCTTTCCTGTAGCTCTTTATACCATAGTGTGAAAATACAGGCTTCTTCATAGCTCTTGAGCTCACTGGAATTTTGGCTCCATGTTTGTGGTCTCTGTGATACATAAATCTATCAGCCTTTTTGTTGTTCATGAGTCAAGGATTTTTTTTTTTATGCTAAGGATTCTAATTCACTTATAGGACCAGCCAGTTGATGGTGGGTTTCCTCTCTGGGAAGGGCAGATGTCCAATGGTGTCTGAATGTCATATGAGTATTGGTCCTATAACTATATTCTTCAATGGTCCTGTGTACCTCAGAGTTTGTTGCTTGGCTCTAATTTGTCATTTTTGGGGGGTGATGTTTTGTGCCCTTGATTTGTTGACTCCCGTTCACAGGCTTTCAAATGTGGACTTTTCAAGAAATGAATGTGTGATGTTGTGTGGAAGCAGACTTGGAGACTTGCTTTCCATTCCTCTGAGAAGCGCTTTTTCCTTACTGTGTCCTTCCAATGTCTATGGAACCATCGCAGAGAAAAGTTCACTGTGACATAAATAAAGTGATTTCCTAATTTTTGTGCCGTATTTGTTGGGCATATAAGAACTTATAATTGGGCTAAATGGTGTCTACATTCTATTGTGAATTCTGAGTTTATAGAGCCCTCTGGAAATTTGATGATGACCATGGGCGCATTCTTCCTTTATGAGATCCATAAACACAAATGCCTCATTTCAGAAGAGTTCACCTCTGCCTTCATCTCCAGCTTCTTCAACAAGAAACATTTAATCTTTAGTCACTGAATCATTTGTGATCTGACCACAGGTAAGTGTGTATGAGTAAAATGAAGCCCACAAAATGTCAAAGTCCTGGTGTGCAGGGCATCAATTATCTGGGTAGATTTTCTGTAATGACCCCTTCTGAGTCATTTAGTATCATACCCTTCAGAAATGCAGGGGAAAATAATTCATTCATATTGAAATTATCTTTGGGTCAATGGTCACTTGAAAATTTCCCCCACAAGTGGGGAAGGAAAGATGCAAATATATTTGCAGCAATATAAAATATTATCTCAGAGAAGTGTTTTGGGAATACACTGAGTTTGAGGTGAGGGAAGGCAGCAGTGGTTTCATCAGAGTTGGGGGTGACTAAACTCAAGACTTAAAGGTCTTTATCTTGAGGGAGTGTCCACAATTGATATGCATAGTTAGGCTTTGAAATGCAACCAGCACTTGACCAGCTTCAGGTCTCCCCCTTAGGCAGAATGGAAGATGGAGAGGGAAATAAGAATTTTGTTCTTCCTCTCAGGCTAAAATGGAGCAGGAACTCTCTAAGCAACTCAGTGCCTTAAGGAAAGAGCTGTAACATTTTTACTTAAATTGATGTAATCCCAGAGAAATTTATGAAAAAGGTGAATTATTTGGTACTGGGAATTGAACCCAGGGCACTTTACCACTGAGCTTCATTCCCAGCCCTAATTTTTTGAGACAGGGTCTAAGTTGCAGAGGTTGGCCTTGAACTTGTGATCCTCTTGCCTCAGCCTCCAAAGGCAGAAAATGACCCATTTTCACATCTATCTCTAGATACTCGAGATGCAGGTGTGGAACTGGGTAACTTCAAGGCAGCAGAAATGCTGGGGTTTACCTTCTTTCTTTTGGCAGAAGGCAGACAGTGGTGCTGGAATTGTATGGAAGGCAGGTGGCTTTGCCTGAAACATTTGTTAAATATTTGATTACCTGTCATAGGTTGAGCATGCTTCACCCCAAAATCCAAAATCCAAAACTTTTTGAGCACTGAGAGCACTAACATAATGCTACAACTGGATTCTGCACAGTGAAACTTTGTTTCATGTGCAAAATTACTTAAGATGTAGCATAAAATTACCATCAGCCTCTGTGGATAAGGTGTATACGAAACATAAAATACTTTTTTAGACTTGGTTCCCCCTCCCCTATATATCCCATTATGCACATGCAAATATTCCAATGCAAAAAAAGCTTCAAATCTAAAACATTTCTAGCTACAAGCATTTTGGATAAGGGATATTGAGTCTGCAATTCATTCCAGAAACAGATGGGAATACAAAAACTGGGTCATATGGTCTTGATCTTTTGTGTCCACCTTCCCTTTGGGACTTTCTTCATCTACTCCCTATTAGCACCTGAGATCATAGAGTCATTTACACATATACAAGGGTCCTTCCTCCAGATAGGGTGAGGTTTCTAGATCTCAAACAATCCTGTACAAAGTTAAATAAGTAGAATATAAATTTTAGCTTAGAATAAAAAGCCCCTTATAATATTTTAAAAACAATTTTTGTTTAATAGAAGACTGCCACTGACCCACTTTGTGATATAATTCACTACAACAGTTTAGCTAATTTTTTTTTTTTTTTAATGAGAAACATCTGAGTTGTACATACCACAGACAGCTTCAAGTTTCTGTACCAACCCCCGCCCCCCCTGGCAAAATGGTTCAACCAAACCTGAAGCATCTCTTTAAACATTGAAAATTTTTATAAAATTAACTTACAAAAACATCCCTATCAAGTTTGTAGTTTGGCGTTTACTGTACATTAGTCAAAAGCTCAAGCTAAAATCTGATTTTTAAAAAATCCAAGTTTACATTATTCATAGATTCAGCATTGTTAAAAAATATGCACAAATAACCACATCCATGCAATAAAATTTCTTTAAAAATTTAAAGCAATATAAAAGAGCAGATCTAGGTACTGAGCTGAACATTTTGGTTTATATCTGGTAGCTCAAGATCACTAGCTGATTGGAAGAAAACTGATTCTAAACATTTAAAATATGATTGTTTCAGTCAATCAGCTCAGTGCATATGAATTTTGGAACCATTTCTAAGGTGGGATCTGCTTGTTTCTCTAATATATATTCTGTGATGAACACCACTGCTCATGGACCACGTTAGCTACGTTATAATAATGCTGTTTTACAAATAAGTCAGAATTTACAAAGTGCGAGACTCTTAGGAAAACTGCCCTTTCCAGAGTTCCCTCAACCAATCAACTAGCTTTGCCAAAATGCCCTGGGCAACTGCTGCAATAGTTCCCTGTCCCCAAGGAAGGACTTCATTTGAAAGCTGCCCTGGAACCCCAAGAGCCCATTCTGGATAAGCCCAGAGGCGGGTGTCCACTGCAGATCCCTGGACATTCCCAGTGCTAAGAGTCACTCACACATTGGTCTGGGGCCACAGCTGGGCACCCACAGCAAAGAGGCTGGTGGTATGGCTGAGCCCTCTAGGTTGGGGGAGGCCCATTGGTGTACCGCAGCATGGGGTAGAAAGAGCGGGCGAAGTTGTTGGCCTGGGTGCAGCTGTAGTCCTCTTCAGAGGAGGGCAGCAGACAGGCCAGGAGCAGCAGCAGCAGCAGGAGCAGCTGGAGGGGCAGCGCTGCCCTGATCACCCTGGAGAGGAAGGAGCGCCGTGGCTGTGAGCTGCCGGGACCAGACATCCTGCCAACAGAGGAGAGCTGATCAGGAGGTTCCAGAGGACACACTCACCTGCTCCCCTGACCCTCTGCTACGTAAGCAAGAAAATCCAGGGTGAGAGAGCAAAAGGCAGCCAACAGCAGGGGTCCTGTTTTGGAAGAGAAACCCCAGAAGTTTCCAGGAGAAAGAAAACTAGACTTCTACAAGGACCTGCATAGTGGCACTGGCAGAGCTGGCACAGTGACTGTGAACCCTGGGGAGTCACTCCTGTGACTGTGAGGTCATTACCTGCTGTCTGTCTCATTCTCATCTTCTGTAGTTCTCTCTGTTCTGACCTGCTGGGAAAAAGAAACCAAAGAGTAAGTTGAAGACAGTTTGGTCCTAAAGTGATACACTTCTATAGCTCGTCTTCCTGCCACACTTGAGACTAGACTAAGACACCTGAGATTCAACAATACTGAGTAAGAAATAATTGGGTTTGTTAAACTATCATGTTTGTTGATCTGATTTGAGGGAGAAATCGGGAAACCCCTTTAACAAGGGCCCTCGTATTTTACAATCTACTATGATCCCAACCTAGTGTACTGAGTAGGAGACAGTCTTTGAGTCAGGTCTTTTTAAAAAGTATATTTTAATATTAAAAAAAAAAAATCTTTGAGGAAGCATTTCTTTTGATCAGAGTTAAAGCAGATCTGTGCTGTCAGGAACTGTCTTATTTAGTCTTGGAGTTCCAAGTTTCTGTCATCTCAGTGACTTTTAAAAATCACGAGTGTATGGGGCTGGGACTATGGCTCAGTGGTAAAGCGCTTGCCTAGCATTCGTGAGGCACTGGGTTCGATTCTCAGCACCCCATACAAATAAATAAATAAAATTAAAAATTTGAAAAAAAATCACGACTGTGGTTCTGACAGAAGGCAGGGGCTCTCACCTTCGCTTGGGGAGCTGCCATGGCTGCTGCAGAAGGCTGGTCCCCGGAGTCTACCTCATCAAAGTTGAGCAGAGATGGGTCTGAGTTCTGAAAGCCACACCCCAACAGTTCAGTTCAGAATAGTCACAAGAGCACAGAACCATGCTTCACACAGTCTTCTAGGCCCTGCTCCCTCCCCAAGCCTACAGCTCCTCCTGAGCAGGGTCCTTCTCTTGCTCTCCGCCCTTGACTCGAAACCTTTCCAGACAAGAGAGAACATAACCAGGGCAAGGCCAGCCATGTGCACTGATTCCAGCTGACCAGGGGCTCACCAAGGTCACTGTGGCCATCGAGACATCAAGTCTTGGGTGTACAGGAGGAAGTAGACATTCTAGAGTGGAGGGACCTGTCCCAAGTTTGGGGAGCCCACAGCCTGGGTATTCCTTTGGTTCTGAATTATATCCCATTTTAAAGAGAAGGAAGTTAAATAAATTAGAGAAGTGGTGAGAACAAAGGGACCAGGACAATAAAGAGGACATGAAACCTCTGAAGTGAGTGGGGTGATGTGGGAAGACCAGGCCCTCATCCACTAAGGCAGATGTCAAGGGAAACTCTCAAGAAACAGCACTATTGAGATATAGGTGAGAGTGAAGCCTTGAGTCTGTTTGATTTGAAGGCAGAAATGATGACGGATGGCTGCTTTCCATAACCCCAGCCATGACAATTAAGGCAGTTACCTTGCTCTCTCCCTTTTCACATGACAGAACACATGTGAGGAGCTTATGCAATTTTTATGGCCACACTCCACTCAGTCCACCTGCTCTCTCCTGGCCTCCTCACCACAGCAAGGCTACAAACCCTGCCTTCTGTCTGCCTCTACTGTGACATCTTAACCCATAAAAAAGCCACCAGGGGACTCACCTGGCTTCCCCGTAAGGACATTAAATCTTGGGATACTTGTTCTCGTAACTGTTTGAGTTTCTTCTGGATGACATGGACCTTCTCTTCAGCTTCAATGTAGTCTTCTCCATGCCCCTTAACGAGAAGGCTGGTGGAGAGCTCCTGTAGGGAGTTGACTTGAGGCTGACGTTCTACTAGTTCCTTTTTCAATTGCTGAAATAAAAGTGTGTGAAATAGTTGTCCAAAGAGAAGCTGGTGTGGCCACCCGAGGCTTTCTCAGTTCCTGATGAATGCTGAGCCTTCTACTTTGCCTGTGTCCTCAGTCTAGCACTGTTTAGAGAGCAAGCAGGTTGCACCCTGCCCCTGCTTTTTATTCCTTTCCACTCTGCAGATAATTATGATGCTGGAGAAATCAGAGGAAAGGAATGAGTGGGGTGGGGTAGGAAGACTTGAGCATCCAAAATTTTGGTACCTACAGGAGTCCTGGAACTATGTCCCCAGGGCCTTATGTTTTTCAGGATGTTATTTATTTCAGAAGCACCTGGGATTGAACCCAAGGTCTTATACACACTAGGCAAGTGTGCACTAGGCTCTACCACTAAGCTCCACCCAGCCCTTCTGATATTTAGATAGTGTCTCGCTAAGTTGCCCAGGATGGCCTAAAACTTGCAATCCTCTTGGCTCAGCCTCCTGAGTTGCTGAGATAACAGGCCTGTAACACCATGCCTGGCTTGTCAGGTATTATAAACACTCATGTCCCCAATTCCTGAGAGTCTGAAAGACTTCTTGCTCTATCTCTTCATCTCTGCAAGTCATTGTGCTTCAGGATTACAGAGGGCATGAGGGAACATGAGGGCCGAACTCCTGAGTCACAGCTGCCTCTGGCACTGTCCGTGCACAGGAGCACTCTGACCAGCTGGAGCAGCCAGCAGCCAGTGATCTGCAGAAAACTGGAGAAGGGAACTTACCATTAGTTCTTTCTGGCACTCCTGGAGGACCTGGCGGTTTGCCTTTGGAGTGGTGACATGAGCCTTCTGCCTCCGGTTCTCAGCACTTGCCAGCCACAGGAGCAGGTTTTGACTTAATTCATGGAAATCCTTAAAAAACAACATAATCTAAGCACTGTGCCTTCTGGGCACCATGGGAGAGGAAGTGCCGGGAAGGCTGCAGGCTGCTTCTCAGCCATCAGTCACCCATTCGTCTAAGCCAGTGAATAAAAGGGCCACATCTCAATTACAGTACAAGGCCTCAAACCAAGCCAAGGGGAGAGCAGGGGGAAAGTGCTAGCAGAAAGGAGGGGCTTCGGGTCATCCTCAATGAAGAGACCACATGCATTCTTCAACAAGTTCACTGGGCTCGATGGCTAAGGGAGCTGGCCCAGGCTGTGGTGGGCTCTGTTTCCTAAAATGGGGTCAGAGCTAAACAGCAATGCAGTGTTAATAAATGCTGAGCACTTATGTGTCAGGCACAGGGCTAAGATGACACACACCACCTCATTAGTTCTAAAAAGGACCTGGGAGACAGGTATTAAAACGATGCCCATTTTTCAGATGAGAAAACCAAGACTGGGAGAGTCAGTGATTTTGCCTAAAGTCCAAACCTATGAAGTCGGACAGCTGGATTAACTGTTCCTGTGTTCCATGACCAGGTCTGCCAATCACTCTGGCAGAAGGACAGAGATGGGGCAGTGTTGGGGCGGCATCCCCAACCTACAAGAATGTTTGCTGTGACCCTTACAGGTCACAGGGGGTGGGTGAGGCCAGGGGACTCAAGGAGAGGAGTGTGAGTGTGTGTGTGTGTGCGCGCGCACGCGCGCGCACTGGGGTGCATGACTCTTTGGAAACACACAGTAAAGCACACATTTCCTAGTACAAGCCACATTTGTGCCAAAGCAGTCTGATGATAGTAAAAATATCTGCTGCTCCCACCACATGGGCCTGGCCGCTGCCGGAGACAGGGCCTTGGGCTGAGTCAGCATACCTGGCACTGCATGAGCGACTGCCGCAGGTCCCCTCTCCAGCTGTCCACTGCGCCCTGGACCGCTTCCCAGCGCAGGCCCAGCTGGCGGAGTCTACTCTGGAGCTCTGTGGCTTCGGTGCTCTCAGTTGGGAGAGATTCCTTGCCGCTCACATTGACAGAGACCATTAATGCCTTGTAGTTGTCAAAAGCTTTTAATATCTCCTGCCACAGAGGGAAATGAGTGGGCTAAGTGCTCTGGAAAAGGAGGGGCTCCTTTGAACCTCAGTAGGGAGCAGGCCTTCCACACACTTCTCCGGGCTGTGGCTACTGAAACGCGAGTGACCTCGCTTGTGACTGGCTAGGAAGCATCAGGTGAGGGAGCTGCCTTATAAGGCCAGGGAACCTGGCACGCTAGCCCACACGGCCCGACAGCAGAGGCTGGTCTCCTTGCTGGTGGACTCACCGGATTAATTTCATGCTGGAGGCATGAAGCGATCCTGCTGACTGCCACAGCCCTTGCTCTGTGATTGACTTAATAAAATTTCTGGACCCAGATTAAAAGTCTTTTGGATAAAGTATATGTCACTTTTCTATCTCCAGATATCCCAGAAATGTTATTTCTAAGATGAATGGAAATCCCTGATATACAAACGCACAAAGTAAAATAAAAGTACAAATATGAAGAGTGCTTGAATACCCCAGGACCCCTTGCCCAGGGCCTCTAGAGCTCAGGCTTGTGTTTGGAACACCTCCAAAGTACAGGGCTTGAACTGCCCCTACTCTGCTCCCTAGGCTGGTACAGGTGGGGCCCAGGCTGATTATGGGTGATAAATCCCAACAGTATAGTAGGGTGACCAGATCAGGCACAGGATCTACCAACCTGGAACTATACATATAGTTCAGACTTAAAGGTGCTGGACAGTGGCCACCAGCACCTCCACAGTCTCGAGGTAGCTGGGTACAGTGGTATCTGCCTGTAATCTGAAGTCTGAGGCAGGAGGATTACAAGTTTGAGGCCAGCCTTAGCAACTTAGTGAGACCCAGTCTCAAAAAAGAAAAAGGCCTAGGGACACGGCTCAATGGTTAAGTGCCCCTGGGGTCAATCCCCAATAACAAAAATGACAACAACAGAAAAGTCTAGAGGTGCCTGGGAAATCAGATCTGTCCATCCAGAAGTGACATGAAACAGGCTGACCTCTACCACGCTCCATCTGTGAGCTGCCACCTACCCAGCCCAGCAGTGCGTTCACGTGCCCGTTCTCAGCTCCTCTCCCTCCAGGCCTCCAGCTCACCTGCAATCTCTTCACTCTGGGTTCCATTTCCTGGATGTTGGAGGGAGGCTTTGCCATCTTTAAAGTTTCAAGCTCTGCTTCAGTTTTTCCCAGCCAAGCAGTGATGGCGCTGATATTAGAGTTCAGCTGCTGCATGTTTTGTTTCATTCTGAGTTTACTGTGAAGCTCTTGTGCCTGAATCAGTTCCCATCTGTCGAAGGCACCTGAAACAAAGCCACCAATTAAAAAAAAGCAATAATGCAGACAGACTTCTCTGGCTGAAGCTACTAGGGGTCAGCATGGTAAAAGTGTGTGGGATGCCCCTTGCAGGAGGATCTGGGTAGGGTTGTTCTCTCTTCCAGAATATGGCACAGCGCATTTCTCTGTGCCACACTCCCAAAGGCTGGAAAGAGGCGGGGACTTGGGGAGGAAACCCAGCATGGGACCGATGTGTGCTCTGGTCGCCAGCTCAGCATCTCAGTTCTCCGTTTCCTCTTTTGGTCCACACACAATCACACAGAGCTATCAGCTTCACTTTAGATTTAGCTGAGCAAAAACTCTGTCAGTTATTGGTCTGGTCTAATGAGGAGACACTTGAGAATACTTTATCATCTTTATTTTGATTTTTTTTTGGTACTGGGGATTGAACACACTGAGCCAAATCCCCAGCTCCTCCACGGCCCCCCGCCCTCGCCTTTTTAATTTAGAGACAGGGTGTTTAGAGACACCCTGTCTCTAAATAAAAACTAAGTGCCTCACTAAGTTGCTGAGGCTGGCTTTGAATTCAAAATCCTCCTGCCTCAGCCTCCCGAAACTTCACATTTGAGATATGTATATGAAGTCATTAAAAACTTCATCATAGGAGGCATATTTTGTCAATGTTTAAAGAACAGTTTCCAAATTAAAATGAATAGTTTAGGGACTCATAAATACAAGTCATTTAATCTGAAAATAATATTGGCTGTTGTAGAGTAAGTTTAATAGTTTTGGTGAATCATATGTTGGTCAATTCCTAATTTTGCGGGGGTGAGTGCTGGGGACTGAACCTTTACCACTGAGCTATATCTCCAACCCTTTTAATTTGTCCAGACTGGCCTCCAACTTGTGATACTCCTGCCTCAGCCTCTGGAACTCCTGGGATTATAGGTATTCACCACTGCACCCAGCTTAATTCCTAATTAATATTCTTTCAGGTGATGTTTCAAATGCTCAGCTAAGCCCAAATACCACACACAATCTCTCTGATAGCCGCCGGCATAGCAGTACCTGATGGCTGTCCTGTTAGGGTGGCCAGATGCTCGTCTTCCTGCTGAGGGCTGCCATTCAGGACTCTTGGACTTTCTTTGCCACCATCAGTGCCTGGATGTAATAGCAGCTTTCCCTAGAATGAGTCAAGAGGTCAGTTTAACAGGGGAAAGGGTCCTGGGAGGGAGAAAGGGAAGGAAAGCAGGGATATCAGGGAATGAAACAGATCAATTTATGTGTTGTGCAGGTATGAATATATCACAATAGGTCCCATTATTATGTATAATTATAATGCATCAATTAAAAAAACAATAAAGAAGATAAACAACAAAAGCCATCTATAAAAGTTAAAAGTTTTCTGAAGAATGCCTGGGTTCAGACTAATAGGCAAGAAATAAGGGTACTGGGCCCTTTGCTTCGAAGGGCCACTCACTAGTAATATGGAGGTGGCTTCATATGTGGTTAGCATTTATAAGCAAGCAGAACTGAGTGGAGAAACAAAGTCTCCGCAACAGGGGCTGGGGCTGGGGCTCAGTGGTAGAGCGCTTACCTAGCATGTGTGAGGCACTGTGTTTGATCCTCAGCACCATTAAAAAAATAAATAAATAAATAAAATAAAGGTATTGTGTCCATCTACAACTAAAAAAAAAAAAAAAATTAAAAAGCCTCTGCAGCAGCCCAGAAAAGGGCAAGATGGCAGCAATGGGAATAAAATTAAATTTTCATGCTTTAAGGTCCCCAGGAGAACCGTGGGAAGAAAACTAAAAACAATCTCTGTGCTTACCGTGTTGGCACGTTCACATTTCCACAGCATTTTCACTATTCCTCCCATTTCCCTACTGAGGTGGCTGGACAAACCGCCTCTGAGGGTGTGTGTCCTTCACGGCACACACTGGCTCTCTATTATCACAGAGCTGAATGGACTATGTTACTCAAGCCTTTGCAGAAATAAAAGTGTTTCTTTTAGGAAAACTATCCTTCCTTTCTTTGGATTGAGTCCATGTGGCCTATTTGTGTGGAATGAACAAATTTTAAAAATCCTTCAAATTTGTGGGGACATGCCTGCTTCAGACACAACAAAAAGGTTTGCGTTTTTGAAACTGGCCAGATGAAGGACACGAGAAGTGTAATGGCTGGGAGAAGCAAACCACATGGGCCCAGGGTATGTGAAGCACAGGTCAGGCGCTGGGTCTCTTCCCCCCATCTTATTTCACACCAGAAGGGCAGATTAAGTGAGAGCTGCTTGCCAAGCAAAAGGAAGTATTTCTGAACTATATGTGGCCAACCCATTGTCAAATGACTGGGATTGAATGTGTGAAGATGATCCACCTCCAAGTGGGTAGCCATAGTCACTCCTAGACAGAGGGCACTCTGACTAAATCTCCTGATGCTTACATTGCTGTTGGTTTCTCTAAAAGATGGTATTAAGATAAAAGGGATGCTTTAATTTTAACTCTCTTGTCGCTAATCCTCTGTACTAAGAATATTCTGTGGCCCATAGTTAACTCTAGGCTGTCCCCCACTTGCCCAGCTGGAGCATGCTAAGAACTCATGTAACTGAGAAGGGACAGATGCTGTGACTACCCCCCTCCCCCAATATGGCAGCAGTAATGATGACCTCCACTCCTGCGGGCCTTCTTTTACCTTTACACACATCAATCTTAGCAACAATTATGCAAGGCAGGGTTATCCTTGGGTGAGTCAAGCTCACAGAGGCAAGATTAAAGTGCCTTAGGTTCTGCAGTCATGAACTGGCAGGGCTGGGAACCCAAGCCACCATCCACCATGGCCTGCCATCAAGTCTAAACATGAAGTCATGGTGTTTTGCTTAGGATGTGGTCAAGAGGTCAGTTTAACAGGGGAAAGGGTCCTGGGGAGGGAGAAAGGGAAGGAAAGCAGGGATACCAGGGAATGAAACAGATCAATTTATGTGTTGTGCAGGTATGAATATATCACAATAGGTCCTATTATTATGTATAATTATAATGCACCAATTAAAAAAATAATAAAAAAGATAAACAACAAAGGCTTGGGAGCTCAGGAGCAGTTCAGGAAGGCCCAGCAACTTGTCTCTTTAATTTTTACATGGAAAACTGACAAAACAGAAACAATTACTACTATATTATGTCAACATACACAAAGATAGTTTTGGCTAGAAACCTCTCTGGTCTGTTTGCCAGGGTCCTAATGGAGTGTGGATGGACAGTTTAGCAGAGATTTTTTTTGGTAGTGCTAGGAATCACCCAGACATTGGGACCTTGGGCCATGCTAGGCAAGTGTTCTACCACTGAACTTTATCCCCAATCCCTCAGTAGAGCAACTGTCCCATGAGAAAACCAATTCAAGATGTGCCTAGGGAGTGAGCACATGTAATTTGCACCAAAAATCTCTCTCTCTTAAATTTTAACTCTTACTCATACATTTGGGTTACATTCCCAGGAGAGTCAAGACTTACATAGGCTGATTTGTAAGGGGTGCTGGAACCCGAGGGGATGGGTGGTACATTCCTGTCACCTTCCATTTGTTTGTAGTGATGCTTGGGACGGGAAGGGCTGTCAGGAACATGCCACGAGTGGCCATCAGAAATGGATTTACCTGAAACAAAAAGTTGCAAGTGATGGTCTATTTTGCAAACAAAGGATTCCTCTTTAGTGACACAAAGCAGGTCATGGGGAATATGGCATCAGGTTATAGTGTCAAGATGAGTTCCTCAGCTCTCCTTGCAAAGCATGCATGTTTGCAAAACGTCAGTATGTCTCAGGAGGGGATGAGATGAGTCATGCAGCTGAGCGGCATCGTGCTGCACTAGATGGGATCACAGCGGAGCACAAGGAGCATGAGTGGCTGTGGGATGAGTGGCATTTTGAATGGAGCTGGTATCTTGAGTGGGGAGGGGAAACTGGGTGGCCAGGTTGGGTCTGGGGGCCAAGAAGACAGAAGGCCTCTTGGAATTGAGGGGAAGGGGTGACCTTGAAGATGGACTGGAGACCCCAAGGGCTGCTGCTCGTGGCTCTCCCCCACCACAGAGTGAAAGATAAAGGTTAGAGCTGCAAGTGGAAGAAAGGAGGTTGTTTTTCTCCTGCAGCAGAGGTAGGGGTACCCTCACCCCCACCCACCCAGCCCAGTCCCTGGAAATGGTCAGAAGCCAGGAAATAGTTCCAAACCAAGCCACCATGAAGAAAAGCTTGGTCCATGCCAAAGGACTTCAGTTAGATGGAGGAAATGAAAAAAGGCATCATGAGAAAATTCCTCCTGCATAGCCCTGCGGGGAGGAGGGCTGGCATGGAGACGCTCTGGTGAGGGCAGGGAGCACGCAGCTATGGGTGAGTAAGGCAGTGTAAATACACCATGACACGAGGACCAAGGCGCATGGTGTCCACAGAAGGCACAGGGCAGACGGGACATGGGAGCAAGGGTTAGGATGCAATATGCGTCACGGGACTCTGCCATGTGGAGACGTGCACGGGCAGGGGCCTACCAGAAGATGCTTTCAAAGTTTTTGTGGTCATTTTAAGATAGGCCTCAGGATTTTCAGGGATTTCTACATCTGAAAAAGAATAATGTCATTTTCCTCACTGGACATGCCTGCAGATTAATGCCCAAGTAGTAAGTTAACAGTTTTGAAACATTGTCAGCTGAAAGGAGGAAACTAACTACTCTATCTTTTTTATTAGAAGAGTTTTGAAACCAGGAGTTTTTTTTTTTTTTTCCCCCAGCTGACCTCTGATTGCCTGCTGTAGTGGTGGAAGGAGGGGAAGTTCTGTAGAAAGAACAGAGATGCTCAGTCTACTGAGGCTCCGAGAAACTCCACTGAAAAGTTAGCTGAGGAGTCTCCCCAACAGCGAGAGCCATCTGTGCGCGGCTTTAATGTCTGTATGTCAATTTCTTGCTTTTTCACCCTTTCACTGGTTCATAGGAATGAGCCAGTTCTCAGGTAAGTCAAAAGGTGGACAGAACAGAACCCAGGAAGCTATAGAAGTCTGTCTGGGTTGGCCACAAGCTAGACATCAAGAGCTGCCCGTGTCACTAGGGTGCTAGGAACACAGCCAAATGGGTCAATTTCTAGGACTCTGGGGATCTGCCATTACCTGAGAGTGCACTGTAGTATGGACCTTCCTCATCTTCTTCGTGAGAGGAGGAGCCCCCCACGTCACCTGTGTGATCCCACTCCAGAGGGATGGAGTCCACACTGACAGGGGTCTCACAGCCAGACCGCTCGTGGCTCAGAGCAGGGGGCACAAGATGGCACAGGGACTGGGGAGACGAGGGTTCCTCGCTCTCTCCCCTTTTATGCCAAGAGTCGGTCTGGATTTCTCTGGGGTCTTCCATGTCTGTTTCGGTCTCAGAGGCTTCCTTTTCATCTTCCAAACCCTAAAGGGGGGAGTATCCAGCTTTTAGAATTAACCAGTTCAAGGGCAATTCACCTAGAAGGAGCCCTGGAAGTCTGCCTGGCTAGCAGCCACCACTATAGGCATTTCTAAGGCTGATTCAAAAAGAACTGTACCCCCAGGCTCTGCTTATGGTTATTTGAGTTTAGCCAATCTAGAATGGGGCTAGAATCTGTATTTTGCAAAAAATTCCAGCTGTTTCCAAGACAGAAAGCTGAGGTATATAATCAAACTTAAATAACTTTATCTGGAAGGTAGGGGAAAGGCCGAGCAAACTTTCGTGTTAGTAGCAAATTCCTCCAAGAATCAGAAAGTTTAAAAAACAAAACAAAAACAACTTCAAATCTGCCAACAAAACACCAGAAAGGCACAGATATTAAAAGCTTTCACACATTAAGAAACACATTCCCAAATTTGTAATGAAAAAACCATAACAGTTTTCAATGAATTCTCGGGGTACCGTCATGTGCCAGAGGAGCCCTGTACTGAGGAATACATTGAAAACAGGTCAGAGGGGCAGGAAGTTTTAGAAGTACCATCCTCTCCACTGGGTAGTGGGGACTTGGAAGTACTCACAGCTCTATTTAATAAAAGCAGAAATGAAAAATTTCAGCATAGTCTCAGTGATTTTTAACCATAAAATCAATCAGTTGAACCTCTACAAAACTGACATCCCAATTCTTTAAGCGGTTGGTGGAGCCCTGGGCAGGCGGCCTTGCCCTTACCGGAGCGTGGGAGGTCAGGCGCCGGTGGAAGCGAGAGACCCTGCCGAACACCTCCTGGCAGTACCGGTGCAGCTCCTCCAGCTCATCCTCAATCAGCACGGCATCTAGGGGCTCGCTCTTCTGAATCAGCTGCTCCCCAAACACGATGAGCTGGTCGATCTTGTTGGTATTTAACGTAATTTCCTGTTGGAAGCCCTATTTAGAGGATGAAAAAGAGACGACTTCAAAAGAAAGAAAATTGCACCCGGGGCGTCCAGTGCTATGTTCAAACAGGGCCTTAGGAAAAGGCGTGTCATTTTGGTTTTGTTCCTATTTTCATTTTGTCTTGTACCCAGGACTCCAGCTTCATCAATTTTTAACCAAGTGACAATGACGATTTAATAGTTTAAAAAGGCTGTATATGTATTTTTTTCCTCCTCCTTCTGGGCACCGATTTTTTCCAATTAATAAATTCTAAGGGTTTGACACAGATGGACGTTAATCATTCTTGGGTGTGAGGGAAGTAACTCCTCTGGTTGATACTGGGTGAACACAAGAACATTTCCCATAATAAGCAACCAATGGGCATCTGTTTGCCTCAGATGAAATAATAATGTTTATGGGTGCCATTAGGGGAGAAAAATTTTCATTTCTCATTTTCTTCTAAAGTCTAGCTAAGGAGAGAACAACTGTGAGATAAACCTAATGTAGATATTGGTTAAATCTGTTCTTGGCACCACCAATGATAGATTTCCCTTTCATTATACTCAATTTGAGTGCTAGAGAAACAGCATTGTATGACGTTTCTATTTGGAGCCTAAAGCAAATTCTCCCCTTGGATGATTTATAAGTGGCCATCAAAAAGGGGGAGGGGCCTCATTCCAATGACCCCTCAACTGCAAGGATTAGTGTCCTTGCTCATGAGAACCCAGTAATACATAGGTAAGATGCAACCTAGCTGCTCAAAGAATTCTGGAATTTGCTCTTAGAGCATCAGGTGAAATCTGTACTTGGCCAGGGCTCCTCCTCAAAGCTGCCATCTTTGAAGAGGAGCTGAGGAAGCAGCCCTTACATTCAGCTGGCGCATTTTGTCATCAGCATCGCTCTCGGAGAAGTGCTCCACATTGGTTAGCTGCAGGTCCATCTCTGTGAGCCACACCAGAATGCTCTCCCTGGTGCCCTCGAAGTCCTCCCTCTGGTTGGTGAAATGCTGCAAAGGGGAAGAAATCAGATCTGTACTGACCTTGGGAAAAAGTTCAGGTATTCATCACCTTTGGCTCAAAGGAAAGGGTGTCCGAGTGCTCGGGAAGACTTGTATCGGGGTGCCCAGGAAGCCTGAAAGCACTGTACTCTGCAGCCTGGGTCTGGTCCTGGCTGTGATACCAAACAAGCCCCCGACCTCTGAGCCTTGGTTTCTACCCTAGCAAATGAGGGAGGTGTGGGAATGTTGATTATGATCTCAGAGGTCTTTTCAAACACTTGAAATTCTGTAATTCTTTAAGTCAGGGATTTTCCCCTGTCCACTGAGGAACCCCTTGGGAGGCCGGGCCAGGCATGGCAGATTTAGCAGCAGCTTCAAGATGGAAAAGTGCAGATTGCAGGGCTGAACCTGGCTAACTGACTGCCCCACTTGCCTTTGTGTAATTCTGAGCATGTTGGAGACCCAGAGGAGATGCATCACACCTCCAGTTTAGGAGGCTCTCAGATGGGCAGCCAATTTCCAGAGAAATGTGGCATTCAGAGCCAAATGACCATTTAGACTAGTAATAGTCCAATCAAGAAATTAACACAATGAGCTGGCTGTGGTGGCACACCCCTGTAATCCCAGCAACTCAGGAAGCTGAGGCAGGAGGATCACAAATTCAAAGCTAGCCTCAGCAATTTAGCAAGGCCCTAAGCAACTCAGTGAGGACCTGTTGCCAAAAAAAAAAAAAAAAAGGCTGGGGATGCTCAGGGGCAAAAACAACAACAACAAAAACACAATGAAATTGTCTAGATTACTAGAAATGGTAGCCAATGTCCTCCTCAGAAGGTTAAAACCCAAACCAAACCAGAAACACCAAAACAAAACAAAACAAAACAAAATATTCTTATCTTTCTAAAAGAGTTTCAAAAGCATTCTGCCTTGAGAACAGAGCAGGGGTTAATATCACATTGGATAGCTCCTGACTATACTCCTTTAGGTTTAACTTATGAACTACAGAAATCCAGGGTGAGTACATACAGTTGGCTCTCTGTATCCTCAAGTTCTACACTGGAGGATTTGACCAACTGTGACAGAAAGTATTTGAAGAAAATTTGTCTGCATTGAACATCAGGACAAGACAAGACTTTTCTTGAGCAACATAGTGTAATAAGTATTTACTTATATTAGGGACAATTAATAATCCAGAGACAATTTAAAGTATAGGAGGAGAGGATGTGCATAGATTATTTGCAAATATCACACCATTTTGCACCAGGGACTTGAGCATCCAAAGAGTTTAGTCTCTGTTGGGGGAGGGGGAGTCCCCACTGTATTATTGAAACACCAGCCCCCAACCTCTGAGGTTAGTCACTGAGCTGTAAAGGAGAATAATGGCTGCCCCCTACCTCTGCAATGCGGAGGGGCACATGCATGATGGGGTTTATGCATATTCCTGGGGGCACATAACAACACACAGACAGGCAAAGCAGGGCTCTTTCTGGAAGCTGTGTGTTGCCTCCACTGACCCAGGAAGCAGGGCCTGTGCTCTGCGGGCAGTCCCTGTGCTCACGTGCACACTGGAAGTTGTAGAGAGTTGTGTTTTGGTAACACAGATCACATCAATAGGCTTTACGAAGCCCCAACACAAATCCCTCTTTAAAAATGAACGCTGGCAGCTGAGGGCTCCTTGGTGCAAAGAGAACACTAAGACAGGTTAGTCCTGCAGTGAAATCTCCCTGCGCTGTTACAAGCCTGCCACTGCCTGTCCCATATCGCTTCTCCCCGAAAATCTACAAATAACCCCTGTGCTGCAGGAAAGGTTACCCTGAGTCTCCGCAGGATGGCTGTCACCCGCTTCTGGAGGTTGTCCCAGCGCTGGTTGCCCTCGTGGACCATCTGCTTCAGTTTGCTGGCCGTGTCGGTGCGGTTCTCCCGCGCCAGCCGCCGGTACTGCTTGTTGATGAGCTCCAGCTGAGTGAGCCGCTCGTGGATCTGCCGCTGGAAGGCCTGCAGCCCACGGAGGGGTCAGTGTCAAGGAGGCAGAGGGCTGGGACATGCCCCTCCCCGACCCCAATGGCTTGCTCTGTGTGGCCAGTCCCCAGTCAGCACAGGTAACAGACGGTGACTTCACCAGTAGTTGTTGTTTCTGGTACTAGAGATGGAACCCAGGGGTGCTCTACCACTGAGTTACATCCCTAGCCCTTTTAAATTTTAATTTTGAGATAGGGTCTTGCTAAGTTGCTCAGGCTGGCCTCAGATTTTCCATCCTCCTACCTCACCCGGCCCAAGTTGCTGGGGATTTAGGTGTGCCACTGAGCCTGGCTATCCCCAGGTCTTTGATGCTAAAGCACAGGCTCCCAAGACCAGCACATGGCTGTTGGCATACACCTTGCAAAGCTGCCTTAGCAGCTGGTGGCAGGCTGAGGATTGTGCTATCTCCTCCAGAGGTGGGGGAAGTAGGCCCTGGGAAGCCATTTAGTAGCTTCTGAGTGGCTGCTGTCTTGGTCATTAGCAGGAGAAAGGATGGGGAAGGCGTTTACCTCAAACCTCTTCAGCTCTTCTTTGGCATTTGTGTACAACACCTCAGAGGAATTGGGGCAGGCTGCTGTCCTCTCGGCAGACTTGAGCCAGTCCTCGAAGCGGGAATAATCATCTAAAAACTTCTGCCACAGGCGCCATGTCTCTTCGATTCTGATGGGAGGAAAGTGGCTTAGCCAGCCGCTCATTTCCACCCTGTGCCTTTTGGACTTGTTTTTGCCTCCTGACTGGGCTCATTCCCAGCTGCCTTATGCTCATGCAGTTAGGGAGAGACCCTGCCACCCTTCCTGGGAAATATCTGAGGATGCTGCCTCCTGGTCTGTGCACCTTCCTTCTGGAAGGGCCGAGCATCTCAGAGCTCCTGCCTCACAGGGCTGAAAAACAGGAGACAAGCTCAGCAGTGCTTCATGGCCCAGTAAACAGCAGCCACAAAAGAGCTGGGGGAAGATGGCACCACACTATGTTTTTTTCCAATAAGTCCTTGGTAAACACTGGTCACCCCTACTGGGTCCTCTCTGCCAATACCTGGCACATTTCTAAGTGACGTGAATAGAGCAATTACTATGACTAAAGGCAGAGGGTGCACAGGGTTCTGTAGGCCACAGCTCAATGTCTGGGGCCAGCAGGGTCCTTACTTCATGCGCCGCTCCATTGACATGGCACAAATGTTCCTCCAGCGCCTGTCAAGGCTTCTGGTGGTCTGCTGGATGGAGTCGCACTCGGTCTCGTTGGCACAGGCGTCAGAGTCATGCAAAAGGACATCACAAATGTTGAACACGGACTCCACCCCTGCGCTGTGCTGTTCGATATCTCGCTGCAGATCCTAGGGTTGCAACAGGGTACAAAAGCCTTTGAGACAGTGGCAATGGATGGAAGGTTGGCATCAAAGGTTCACCGCTCATCCCTCCCCTAGTCTAGGGACACAGCCCTGGGTGCACTTGGGACCAACAATACAGGCTCAGCCTGTATTTGTACAGCCCTGTGCCACTGCACCTGACCCGAAGCCTAGGTGGTGGCAACAGGTGGGATTTATGTGTTGAACTGAGTGAGGGTGGGAATGGTATGGGGCCTGCTGCGCACTGACAGGTGGCCCTGCTGACCCTGAGAGGCCACTGTTCCACAGACCTTGGGCATGCTTGCAATCTAATCCAAATGACCTACCCCAAAGGCCTCCAATTTAGATTTGGTTTCTGAACTGTCCAAATCTCTTCAGCAGGAGCTGAGATTTAGCAACAGAATTGAGCTTTTATGGGTCACAGAACTCTGGAACCTACAAAGAGCCCTGTGCTGTCTCTCTACATACGTCCTCCTGTGTGGGTAGCTGTAAGGGTGTGCATGGCCTCTCCATGAGCCCATCAGCGGCTCCACAGGTCCCAGGGAAGAATCCTGGGACTCCTCTACCCAGAGAGTGGGGCTGTGACCTGGGGAGGAGGGAAGGATCTCTGGATTCTTCTCCCATGATAGTGACAGTGATGCCGTTTCCCAATTTGGAAAAAAGAATACTTATGAAAATGCATGGTCACAGGAAAAAGATAAAAAATTTCATAAGAGGAAACATGGGGATAGAGATATAGCTCAGTGATAAAGCACCTGCCCAGCATGCATGAGGACAACACACACACACACACACACACACACACACACACACACACACACATTTTTTCAGTTATTGTGAGAGAATAATTCTTTCACATTCCATGGGTGGGCTGGGGAGTAGGGAGACAGATGAGGAGCCTGTTTGTTTTGCCATTCTGGATGGGATAGGCTTCCCCTGACATCCAAATTATGTGATATGTGACAGGAGACTACACCATTAATCCTAGTAGCTGAATTATGTTGTAAAGTAGCCAGGACCAAGTTAAATTCTATTTCAATTGTTTGATAATACCACCATTTCTGAAATTGCACAATGGTTTAAGTAAGCCACTATCAACTCTACTAAGCTATAAACCAGTTTTCAAGAGGATTACTTTACAAACAGTGGCTGCCACCAGCTGCAGAGAGGCAGCTCAAGGTCATTCCAGGTCAGCTCAGTATTTAAATAATTTTGGAGACAACTACTATATGCCTAGGTAGGCCTAATATTTTCTTACATTTCTTCTTTCAAATGCACAATTTAGATCATTGTGTGTTTGGGTGGATTTGAGAAAACAAATGCGAACACTCCACCTGAATTCTAAATCAGCCAGCTGCTAGCACAGATCCCGAGTAGACATGGGCACCAAGTTAAACTCAGAAGAAACATCTCTTCCACTCGGTCACCCTGTGAGCCCAGGGAGAGATGTGCAGGGTGGGTTTTTGAAGCTCTACAGCTCAGGAAGAGTATCAGAAATGCTATAAGGGTGGCAGTATCCCCAGGGCCAATACCAGGACTAGCTTTAAAATTATTACATTTAAGTTGAATTCCAGTTTTTAAGAATTCTTACTGGTTTATAGAATTAGAACAGGTTTTTCTGAAATTTAGTGATATTGATACATATCCTTTGAATTATTAAAGTAATAACAGTAATTTAGCACAGTAGTGCTAATTGAGTAATTCTGACAAATTAATTGAAAATTTCCCTCGATCTCACCTGGCTCCAACTGGGTAGAATTTGATGAAGATGCTCAGAGAAAGTCTAGTCTATGGATAAACATGAATGCCATGTTTTTTTTTTTTGTTTTTTGTTTTTTTAAACCAGGGATTGAACTCAGGGCACTCAACCACTGAGCCACATCATCAGTCCTATTTTGTATTTTATTTAGAGACAGGGTCTCACTGAGTTGCTAAGCACCTCATTGCTGAGGCTGGCTTTGAACTTTCGATTCTCCTATCTCAGCCTCCCGAGCTGCTGCGATTACAAGTGTGCACCACCACACCTGGCCGAATGCCATGTATTTTAATAGATTCTTTGCAGTTAGCTTACATTAGTTATCTAACTTATATTGAATAAATGTTTAAAGAAAATTTAATAAGTGACAGAAATGAGGTTCTAAACCAAGTTAAAAAAAAGATCATCCACATTTTGGCTGAATAAAAGCAAAAGCCCTACATTTTCAACAACAACAAAAAACCACAACCACCCCCCAAACACCTAAAACACCAGAGTGGCCTACTGATGTTGGAGTTTCATGCATAAAATCAAGTTGTAAATTATATTTTTAAATGTAGATCTTCCAAGTCCTAGACAAGTATTACTTTGCAAATTAAATAAAATAATCCTGTTGCTATGCCCACTGAGGCATGAGGCTGAACAATAATTGCATTTCAGAGACTATCCAAACTTGGAGATGAACTGAGTTTAAGGAAAGGCAGAAGACAATGGGAAAGACTTTTGCCAAGGGTTTTGGAAAGGGGCTCCTCTTCACTCTGTTTTCCTGAGCAGTTGACAGTGAAGTTAGGAAAGAGCAGAGGAGGAGGAGGAAGAGGGGGCTCAGCAAGAGGTGATGGGGGGAGACATAAAACCAGAGAAGAGATGCAGTCAGGAAGGTGGAGGATAAAAAGAAACCAGAAAAATAAGATAAAGAAGAAAATCACAGAGAGGAACCCATGGTGTGGTGGCTCCAGGAAGTCTCCATGGGAGGGGCTTGGGTGGCAAGCCAGCCAACCAGGGTAGTGTTGGGGGACGGTTAGGGGGCTTGGAGTGAAGCTGAGTGGGCCTTTGGGGAAGAGGCTATTGGTCATTACAGAATGAGAGGGCAACTAAAAATGTCCCCAAGTGCCATCTGGCATCCTCAGGGATTCAACAAACAAACAAACAAACAAACAAACAAACAAAAAATCAGGAGAGAAATGTTTAAGACTCAGTGAAAGTGGCTCATGATTTGTCACTAATGGGCGCCATTTCCTTTGCATTTTGAAAGAATGACCCCATCACCAACTATCTAAAGAAGTTCTACCAAAGAAAGGAGAAACCCAGAGGACTCTCATAGAGTCTAATCCTTCCTCACCAGGTCCCTAAGGACATTACAAAGAGGACCCAGGGACATCATGGCTCTTTAGGGAGCTGGGGGCATTTGCAGGAGGCAATACTAGGCAATCCCAAGCTTTTGGGTCCTTTACCAGAGGCAATCGAGCAACTTATTATATTTATTAGGGATGAAAAAGTAAGGTTTTAAAAAAAGTGACTCATAAGTTCATTTGTGTGCCACTTCTGTTTTTAGTGTTTTGGATGGTCTAGGTTTAGTATAAGAAACACATGCCTGTTCATTCTATTCAACAAAAGTACTAAAACTTTGCTCAGGTGGCAGAACAATGAAATGAATCCCCTCCCTTCCAAAGATGCCTAAATCCTAATTCTAGAACCCATGAATATATTAGGTTACAAGGTAAAGGAGAATTTAGTTTGCTGATCATTTGACTTAATATAGATCATTTTAGATTATCTGGGTGGGTGCAATGTGTTCCTGAGAGTCCTTAAAAGTAGAAGACTTAGAGGAAGATGCAACTATGGAAGAATGGCCCATAGAGACAATGTTGATTGATGTCTTAGAAGGTGGAAGAAGTGGGCCAGAAGCCCAGAGATGTGGGAGGCCTCTGGAAGCCAGAGGGCAAAGACATGGATTCTCCTGTGGAGCCCTCAGAAGGGCAAGCTCCAGGTTGGTGCCTGGTCAGAACTGTAAGATTAATACATTTGCATTTTTAATCTGTAAACAACAGCAATAGAAAATTAATATATCTAATTTATTTGCTGTAATGGTAGTCCTAAATACTAACTCCACAACTATTTTGATAACCAAAAGGGATAAGACTTCCATTATGGTAACTTTGAATTCTATAAAGAGGGAAACCTCGAATCCATCAGATTAAATTATGTATCATTTCAGTATGGGAACAAATAGGTCAAGAGAATGGCAGTTCTAAATTGTACACTTTAGGAATAAATATCCTGCAATTTAGTGTGTCATATTTCAGATTTATAAAAAGTTAACACAGTTTTGAGCCTGTACTAAATTCAGCCAATCATTCTTTAAGAGCAAAGATACTGCCATCTTTCTTACTATTTATCTGAAAAAACTCACCACTCAGGATTGATAGTTGTTTGCAATGCCTTATCTATTAAGAGACTAGAAATTAAGAAATTTGTCCAACAGATTACATTTGTAAATGAAGCTGATGATGTTCCACTGAGAAGTGCATCAAAATCTCTAGACTGTCCACTAAAGTTCTTTGAAATTTATGTCATATTCTTTCTCCACAAAGCAAAGACAGAATTTAGATGACCTTAATAAAAAGACACCCTTAGATATCTGAAGTAGTAAAACCAGTACTAATTTGTAGCAATATTAAATCATACTAATTTGAAAGCCAGAATAGGCATAATTTGAATAGTAAAGGTAATAGTAATATCAAATACTTGGCTCTGTTTATAGAAGCATGAAATGACACTTGTAATCATTAAAAGGATGGACTGAACTCTAGAGAATGTCATAGAACAGGCAGCCTTCTGGCCTTGAATCTGGGGGAAATGTGCCAACCCAAACTGTCTCTAAGCACCTATGATAGATAGGATGAGCACAGGGGAGGTTAAATGGGACAAAACCAGATTCAAATCTAAGAATCATACGTCTTGCATGGTTGGAATAATCTGCCTATAGCTCTGAAAGAAAACGGAGATGAACAAAAGCCACAGAAAGAACAATATAAACTTGGTCATTTAAAAAATAAAGACAAACTTGGGCAGTGCATTATGAAAATGGCATGTGAGTAAAATTTATAGAAGGCAGCAAAGTGGATTCAATAAACTAGTGATGTCAGAGAGCACCTGCCAGTGGGCACAGTGGCCAATGCTAGTGGAACTCAGTGATTTTTCAAAATGCAGATTTCCAAGGTTAGCTCAGAGCATGCATATATATAACTGATGACAAAATGCAAAGTGTGGTAAACTCTGCAAACCTGAACTTCTTGGCCCGAGTATGTTCCTTTGATTGTATAAAAGAATTTTCTTTTGAGACAGGGTCTCACTAAGTTGCCCAGGCTGGCTGGAACTTGTGATCCTCCTGCCTCAGTCTCCTGAGTAGTTGGACTGTAGGCATGCATATCTTATAATTTTTGTTTTTTAAAAAAATGTCTATCAGACACAAATAGCATGACCCCATGAAAACTTTCCTTCATAAAAAGAGTTATTTCTTTTCCAACTTGTTGCCTTTCAAAACTGTTAGCAAAACACAACAAAGATCAAAGTTAAAAAAAAAAAAAGACTAAACTAAACCCCCTAATTTCTCACTAAGATTAAGGTCTACATCTTACACACTATTTAAACTGTTTCATAAAGAGCTATGTGAATGGGTGGGCATTCAAGAGATGGACGCCTCACACATATAAAAATGCAGACAGGCAATCAGGGTTTTTTTCCTGGAAAAAAACAAACAGATATTATGAAATGCAAACATGCTGAAACACAGCAGATGATGTGGGCAGGTCTGTGTTCGTTATCAGACTTGCATCTTAGACACCTCTGCTGGGACACAGCTCACTTCCCATGGCCCCACCTGCTGCTCAGCGAGCCTCTTCTGGATTTCCTGATCGTCACAGACGTCGTAAACAACCGGCTTCGAAAGCTCAGACTCGATGCGAGCCAACCAGGTGCGAAGGTTGCTCATGTTTTTGTCTAACTGCTGAATAAAAGCAAATGTCTCCTTCAGCTTCTTCACCCTGAACATATTTGCAGAAAAAAAAAAAAAAAAAAGATGGAAGACAAAAACTCAGCATTTAGTGATAAGAAAAAGGGACCAGCCAATAAGGGTGTTGGTGGGTAAAGGATCAAAACTTGCTCTAATCTTCTAACAGGAACGACTCTCATGTCACCAGAGTTCTCACAGAATACATGCCACTTTGCAAAACTGTCACCTCAGTTGATTTTTTCATATGGACTTAGTCTACCCATGCAAACAAGGATGTCCTATCATTCCCAAAGTGGGGGCCCCCTGAAGTCCTATCCATCTTGCTGGGCCTCCAGAGGTGAGATGTCACTTCTCTACAATAACCACTTTTGGCTTCTTTTGCCCCGTTTCTGTCTTGGGTATGCCTGAGACAATTGTCTTCCCGAGAGATTAAAGATGTCACACGCCTGGCTAGTTGGTAGTTAGCCCACAATGCCTCTCATGGGACCTTGCTCTGAGCAAGAGAAGGACACATGCCAAACCCACCACTTCAGCCAGGATCGATGGTGCCACTGAACCAGCCCATGTGGGTACTAGAGGGTCGCCTGTCAGTCAGAGGGTAGGGGCAGAGGTGAACGGTGCCCTCCAGCGCAGTTCTAAGTGCCTGCTACCTGGCCAGTCTGCCTCAGATCCTGCCCAGGCTGACTCCACATTGAGCAGATTTGAAAAGACACATGTGGCACTGGTGTAAAGTGGTGCACTCACCAAAACCAAGTGCCACCGAGGGACAACCACCATAATTTTATGTAAATACTGAAATAAAATGTGTCAATAAACCCTTTCATGAAAGTCCTAAAAGGAGCGTGAGTGAGGGTGACCTGGGGGATTTTCAGTTAATCCCAGCGACTTCAACTAGTAGCTACAGTTGAAATTTCCCACTTACCAATCCTCAAGCTGGAAGATACTGTCAGAACTACATCCCATGGCTGGGAGCGCTAAAGAGAGAAACTGGGGTACTGACCCTAACTCACTGGACCACACTGACCTCCATGCCACCACCACCTCTTACTTAACTGGACAACTTCCTACCTAGAGGCCTCCTTGCCCTCCTACCCACCTTTGGTTCTAAAGCTGAAGGATACATCCTGGAAGGCGGGTCTGATCCATGGCCACAACACAACAGTCGCTGCCCTTCCTGGACAAACCAGTTTAATCACGTGATCTCCTCCAGCGTTTAGTGGCCTCTGCCTCTAGCCCTTCAGTTTGCAAAGCAACTCCTCTTTCCTTCTGGAGCTTCTCTCCACTGCCCCTCCCCCACAGGCTCCCACAGTATCTGGGCCTCCCACCTGGCACCCTAACAGTGAGTCTCTGCACCTATCAACACAGAGACTAGCTGCCAGGCAGCACTCCCACACCGCCTGGTGGGCCAAAGGTGTCCACAAACATTTGCTGAATGGATAAATATAGCTAAAGCCCTTCTACAGCTTAGGAATTGGGCAGACCACAGAGGTGTGCATGTGTATTTTGTTTTCGTTCCTTACAAGGGACCAAGTCAACCAGCTCTATTGTCAGGGTGACCTGTTATGTTCTCCCTTATCCCCAGTAGGCCTCTGAAGTCTCCCAATTCAGAAAGGCAACAGGATCCAAGTGAGGTTAAGGCCAGAGCTTCGGAGGTGAGCTGCCCAGGGTCAAGTCCATTTCACTATCTATAAGCTATACATCCCTGCAAGACCCTCAGTTTCTGACTCCTTGTTTCTTTGTTATCTGTAAAATTAAACACCTTGCAGTGGTTGTGAGACCAAAATAACAGAATGCATGCATGTAGAGCCACTGGGGCATAATAAATGCTTAATAACACTAGCTCTTCTTATGCTGACTGGGTTTACAGGAGACTGTGAAAATAATAATGCCTTTTCTATTCAGCACTGGACCTCACCAAGTTCTTTCATAGGTGTTTTAATCTTATTAGCACCATAGACTGTTCAGGCTTGTAAGCTGTGGAGTCTGGTGGTGAAGGACACAGACAGGCCCTGACCACAGGGTTTCAGTCCTGACTGTTTAATCTCATGTGAAAAATGGTGCTAACAGTAGCACCTTCCTTCCTGGCTGAGAGGACCACAGGAGACACAATGCATGAAGGGCACTGGGGATACTGTCTGATGTGATGGGCAGATGCCCAGGGACTGTGTGCATGATCAGTTTCAAGGAGGAATATTCTCCAAATTGCATTCTTACTGCTAACAAGTTGCCTTCAAAGTCACTAAGAGGATTCATTGGAAAAAAAAAGTAACAGAAGCCCAAGCCAGGCCTGGATACATTGTAACCTGGTTGAAGCAGGGGCTTCATTTCCACCAAGTTGGCATTATGCCCTCCTCACCCAAACATTCTGCCACCCTGCCTGTCCAGGGACCAAAAGTCTTCCACACAGTTGGGAAGGGCTGTCCTCCTTGGAGGCTCTGCTGGAGAAGAGGCCTGGGCAGGTTCAGGTTCAGTTCAGCAGCCTCCTCTTCCCTTTTCCCAGGATGGCAGCCATTCACTGCCTTCATCCAGCATCTGACCCTATTTCACCATAAGAATCCCGGCCTCTTTCTTATTGTAAAAAGAAAGAGGGCTGGAATGCAAGTTTTTTATATGAAGGTGACAAGCAGCAAAATAATCTGGGTGTAAGAATACCGGGGTGCAGTGGTCTTGATTGACTTCAGCCCTAGGGGTTAGCCATGCCATGCATGATAACTCCTACAGGAGGGGGATGAATAATTTGCTCGGCTTCCCAGGACTGTGGTTTCTAAGGGGTGCTTCAGACATATCAATGGGACATAGGTATAACATACAGGCTGAGCATCCCTGTTCTGAAAAAACCTAAAATCTAAAATACTCCAAAATCAGACACTTTTTTTTTTTTAAGCACAATCATGATGCCACAAGTGGGGAATGCCACTCCTGATCTCGTGTGATGGTTTACATCAGGACACAGGCAACACTGAAAGTTACTATGTAAAACTATGTCTGGGGTATATATGAGAATCCTAAATGAATTTTGTGTTTAGACCCAGGTCCCATCTTTAAGGTATTTCATTATGTACATATGAAATTATTCCCAAATCTGAAATCCAAAATACTTCTGTTCCTAAGCATTTTGGATAAAGGACACTCAGTCTAATAGACTTTATTCTGCTAACCCATTCTTTTAAAGTATCTACATTGACCTCTCCGCAAAGCTCAGTGATATCACAATTGCCACTCAAAAAGAGGAGAATGAAAGGTTGGCATGGTTTGACGCCATGACAATCCAAAGGAGACTGCAGTTTCCTGTCATACTGACCCTGGAGGTTACATGGAAGGAAGGTCAAGTGCAGTGATGGATGAGAGATACCAAACAAAAGAGTACGAAGACTGAGACAGGTGGGAGAGAGAATGCAATCTGTATTTGGGGTAAAATTGGGAGTTCATAACCAACTTGAATCTAATGTATGAAACATGATATGTCAAGAGCTTTGTAATGTTTTGAACAACCAATAAAAAAATAAATAAATAGGGAGAAGAAATCTATTCTCTATTAAAACAACAGTAAGAAGTCACTAAAGCAAGTTTTCCTAATGAGATTAGGATAAAAAATGAAGTTAAGAGAAGCCCTGAAGTAAATGCAGGTGGGTATTTAGTCTGACTGAGTCTCCTAATCAGAAGTTCTGGCAGAGTGATTAGACACCCACATGTTCAACAACCCAAGTGAGGAGTGCTCTGGGCTCCTGCCTGCCTGGGTGGATGGGTGCTACACACTTAAATACCTGCCTTGGCTGACAAAAGCAATTATACTAAGGGGTGTAAATGAAGGTTGCCTTTGAATTCCTTGAAAAGTGCAAAAATGTAAAGTTCTGCCCAGGGCCTTCTTCCACAGGGGGGAAAATATAGATATTAGAGCTATTCCATCATTTCTCTATGAAAATATAACAATAAAATTAATAAGGTTTAGAAAGTCATTATTCCCAAGCATGATGATTCCATTCTCAAGACCTAATCACCTCCCAAAGTCCCCATCAATAATTATCATCACACAGGGGATCAGGTTTTAATGTATGAATTTTAGAAGGACATAAACATTCAGTCCATAGCAATATTAGTGCTCTTTTGTCTTATTTCATGGACTCTAGTAGTTGGTGGCTATTTTCATGGCATTCCCTAATCACCTTCATCTGCTTTACCTTTAAGATTACCTAAACATAGCTGGGTGCAGTGGTGAACACCTATAAACCTAGATACTTGGAATGCCAAGGCAGCAGGATTGCAAATTCAAGGCCAGCCTGGGCAACTTGCTGAATCCCTCTCTCTCAAAAAAAAAAGTATCTACATTGGATATGACTTTTAATACATAAACCTTATTACTAAAATGGAATATCTGTGTAACATAGCATCTAACAGGCTGACCCGTGCCAGGCCTGCAGTGGTTCACATGTTAGCAACTCATTTAATCCTTATGACAATGCTAAGAGATGGGTATTATCATCATTCCTATTTGACAGTTGAAGAAATGGAAGTCTGGACTCATGGCTCCAGGATACACTACTGCATTACTGGGGACAGAAGCCAGTCCACACAGCGCTAGGCTATAAGCTAGTGTGTGGGGAAGAGGTCAGAAGGCTCAGATATGCTGTCCCCATTTCCTTCCCATGATTTTCTTTCAATGCATTTAACTATTTGCTTAATCTTGGTTGCTGTGCACATTCTGGAAATCCAAAGATAACTGGAAGATAGGTCTTATTCCCACAGAGCTCATGACCTTGCAATTTAGACGTTATGATAGGGGAGATGCACAATAAAGATCTATTGAATGAGGTTCACTTATACCTTCAAGTTTGTTTTTTTTCTATAAAAGAGGTGGTCACATTATATTTGAAAGGAGAGAAATGAAGACCAGAGCACATCAAAGCCCTTTTGCCAGAAAACAACATGGTGCCCTCCAGTAAGCCACATGTGCCCCTAAACTCAATTTCCAAATGAAGTGGAACAGGCACACAAATCAGGTGCACACTTAGGGTAAATTAAAGAAGAGAAGGC